TGGAAGGCTGTGTGCAGATTTCTAAATACCATTGAAGAAACCACGTCAGAGGAGCATAAAGAATATATAAGTCTCTTGCTTGTCTCATCCCTGTATCTCCCCAGACCTTGAGGCCGATGCACTGATGCAAAATGCTCCTTGTGGTCACTGCCTCCTGCTTCACAGGGGACTTTACAGAATGGACACTGCTTCCCACAGCCAAACACGCGCTTGAAGATCTCATCCTGGGGCTTGAACTGGAGCTGTGTGAAGACCATTTCCCCGCTCAGCTCTTCCCACTCTGAGAGGATGCCATCTTCCACCTGGGGAAGGAAGGTCTGGATGTCGACTGAGAACTGCCCGACATTGGCTGTGTTCTTGAAGATGATCACCTCCAAACTGTCCTTGGAGATGACCAGCTCCTTGCACATCGCTTGGCAAAAATGGTCCAAGAACTCAAAGATGGTGGGGGTGTCTTGGCACTCACAACTCTCCAGAGTGTCCCGGATTTTCTTCATTATTGTGGCTAGAACCATTCTCTCTAGCTCCTTCAAGCCCCCCGTCTCTCTGTAGTGATCAAACAGGCGTGTCTGGATCCAGGATTTGACAAACACTTCATAGTTACTGACGTATTTCACATAGTTATTGAAGTCCATCTCCTCCAGCAGCTTCTTCTGCACGGTGAACTGGAAGAAGCTCCGGCTGCCATACTCGATGGACTCTCCACTGCTGAGAAAGTCGTCCACTATCTCAATCCCGAGTCTTTTCTTCATATATGCCCACAGGGCGGGTCTCAGGCACCGGTCACAGAAATCAAAAGCTCTCTTCTGGCAGGCATCCTTCTCATAGTAAAGGTCTCTGAAGGTGGAGAAATACTGAGGTCTCAGCTCCTCCAGGCGACGCTGAGGGTCGTTCTTCTTGAGAAAGTCTTCGTGCATTTTCTGGAAAGTGCTGGCTGCCTCCCCCAGGATGTGAAGTTTTAAATCGACTTCAAAGGAAGCACTGGTGCACATCTTCCCAACGACGTTCTCCTGGAGCCTCTCGTTGATCATCCACAGCAATTCCCTGCAGTAGGTCTGGTCATAATCCCCCTGGGAGTGGACCTTCTGCCCAATGCACCTCCTACACTCCTCCACCAGGGACTTTGTGAACTCTTCCAATTCATGCTTACACTGCTGCGTTATAAACTCCATAGCCGCTTTGTACCAAGCCAAGTCCAGATACTCCTTCTTCATGCGGAAGGGTTTGCTTTGATAGGTGAGCAAGTTCTGGGCTTTATAGAGCATCTGCTTGACCAAACTCCCTCTGTTCCCCAGGTCCTTGCACAGCTGGTAGTGGATGTCTTTATCAATTTGGCGTAGGGGTAAGCGCTCCAGCGGCAGCTCCGCTAAGGTTTCCTTCCACATCTTGGCAAACTCCCTTTCCAGTTCCTTGACCTTTAGCTCCATCTCCCTCTCCCTGCAGTCCTGCAAGAGCCCGTCCACCTTCCCTTCAATGACTTTCATGTACCCGGCCTGCAGATGGTCTATCTTGCTCCGACCTTTCTGGATACGAATGGTCTCTTCAGACTTGCAGAGCAGATAGCTCTCCAGTTCGTGCCGGAGAA